TATCTCAATTATATCCTACTGCTCATAAGCTATGTATCACCCCTAATGCGATATTTAATTTGAAGTGATTGTTTTAGCAAAGCGCCAAACAAACGTGTCGCTCTGTCGTCCTCAAGCCTGGAGTAGTCCAGAACCGAATTTGGTCCACCAACCCCGTCACATTGATTTGATTGACCGGTACAGTCGTAGTTGTATTTCTCAGCTGTTCATATGGAGCCACTCTTTCTTAATCTGGCTCTTTTCTCCTCCGTGTACTTATAAGGCTTTTCTATCCGTTCCTGTTGTAATACGTCGACTGTTCCACTGGTCGGTTTTGCGTTCGTTTCCTTACATTGTTCCTTTAATATTTTTGCACACGTACTGTCACTGTTTATGATAATAACATTATGCCAGACCAAAAGCGCTTATTCTCTGTCGGATGTTGAAGCCGTTGTTTGTGGCTCGCTTTCAGTGACGTGTATTCTGTTTAGATCGTCGGTTCGAAGCTTATCACACTGCATAACGCTCGACTCGAGTATTGTGCATGAATGACAAAATTGGTAACCGCCCTAATTCACTGTGTGCGAGTGCAAAGCCGATTTTTCATATTCACACTAGAATGAGTAAACTATAATAATACTAATAGTCAAAGTGTGAACGAAAGGTAAATGTGGAAGGGGCAGAGAATGAGCACAGGTGTCAGATGGGGTTATGGAACAATCACTTTTACGATCATCGTTTGAACCAGTTAATGCTGTTTTACGCAACTCCATCTTCATAATCCTAATGGCTACGGCGTCCGCAATTGTCAGGATCTTTGTGTGTAATCCTTTGGTGCGGTTCTTAGGTGCTACGAATAAACTTTTAAATATTTTTTTTTCTGGCTGAATCCCGTGTCCACTGTCGAGCAGATGTTGTCTTTATATGTCAAAAAGATATTTCTTCGCGTTTCCATTTTTTGATTATGTACGGAGCAGAATTTTTTAGCATACGGATTTGGTTTGTTTGCCACACCGATCTGGACTCACGCAAGTGTGGAATATATAATACCGATAATAATTTACCAAAAGTACATTTGTCCACGTTACAGGTACAGTGCAATAATGCAATTCATGTTTGAGTGTCCTGAAAATCGGCTGTCGGTAGTTCTTGTAGATACCAATCATGTTTGTGACTTAGATGTAGGACTAACCAATGCGTGAAAGTACATAAATCGAAGTGCAACCTAAATTGCTCACTCAATTTTCCATGTGTACAAACTATTTTACGGACCATACAGTGTCGCCAGTTGGCTATCAGATGATGACATGATAGAAGGCACATGCTATGAGACGAGATGTTTTGATATACTCTCATCCGTGGCAAACATATGACATCCGGTAAGTAAATAACATCAGGATAAGTAACCTGGAATTACTGTGTAACTAGTACTTTGCGTTCATTAGGTTTTCATCTGTTAAGCTCAAAAAGCACTTGTTGTTATTCGGTTCGTCAGAGTCTGTACCGACTCCATGATTTTGAACGAAAAATTTCTGCCATTCTCGAACCTACGCAACAACGGTTACCTGGAACCATTTATTTGGTTCCATGACCGGACGGGGAACCAAGCCGCGCCGATAACTCATGGTTTTAAAAAGGACATTTACCTATCTCTACCTTTCAAGTTATGCAGCTGACAGTGCAGCGCTTCCAAGGCTCTCCCCAAAAGACTTTCGATGCTGCATCACCAAGTCTGTGTCCTTCAACAGAACGACTCAGATATCACCATTCAAATACTGCGTTCTTTCTGATGCAATCTCTCCCTGCATTTACACCTTCTCGTACAGTTGCGAAGAGGCTTGTATCAGCGCAACGGAGTGCATCGTGCCTAAGGTAATAACGCAGCCTAACCCACCGAGCGTCAACGTAACACGTAGGCCGACCTTGGCGATCGCTCGCCATTTGATTGAGATCAGTTTCAAGGTCAACGCTGCTAATGCGTTCTCTGTCATGTTACTTCATCGCGATCCACATGGTTTACGGATACCGGAGGCTTTACCCATCGCCCATCCTGAGCGTCCAAAAGCGTTCGACACTGTCTCCAAACCTGCCTCGGGTTTTACCAATCACCTTTTGTTTCCTTTTTGAGGTAGCTACTCTGAAGTCGGTTATCACTTTTTCTGCTGCCGTTTATGGTCCTTATGTTATACGTTTGCGATCGATGATAATATGTGAAAGGACTTCCACTTGCAGTATCTCTTCTATCACACCTGTTAGGGTTCATCACGGAATATTAGTGCTTCAAGATATTCATGGATTAAGGAAGATTTTGCTTTTTACATTTGCTCTGGTGCCGCATGCTATCAGTACTGAACGGGGTGAATGTTAATCATCACCGTAGTACAATTAAAAAAACCGATCTCCATGGATGAGGTCCATACACTGCCGGTAAAACATGAGAGCCTCACTCCATCTCGACTAAGCACACACACCATACTATCTGATCACGTTAAACTGTGCTCACTGTTCCCCAAATTCACCGCTATGTAGTTCAAGAACGGTACCCAGTTAACTCACATTCACATTCGTGAACTATATTCACGCACATCAGTCGAGCTCCATTCTCACATAAAAAAGAAGTAAGCATTCGGTATCCGCATAGTTTCGGTTTAGAATGAGCACGAAAGAGCAGTGAGTTTCTTATCAGACCGGAATCATTGAGTATACCCTGATCTACTGTGGCTTCCATATTGATGAAACGATACAAAGAAATCATTGTGTTGTTGTTACGCTGATAGTGTTCAGCTCTGTGGAACAAGCGAGAGGTTAGGAGGGATATTTCTGTGAGGGAGTCAATAAGCCCCCTAAAATACTTGAAATAGCAAAGTGGTAGTCTTTGTTGCTTCAATTCACGGGCAAGTGCCCTGTTTACTTGATAGAGCAGCATGTGCCACCCATTCGTACAGCTATGACACATGAATCCATAAAACAGTCGGTTCATATCTTTCGACTTGGACCAGTGAGTGACAACTTTGTCTATCTTTCAGTCTACATCACCAACCAATCAGCTACTGACACGTTGTGATCCACTTCACCCAATCACTTTTGCCCGCCACACTGTACTACATAACAACCTCCAACTGTACCCATGCTTTACACAATGTAGATGTAACTGAAGAAAAGTTCCACGTTTGTTCGTGTTTTAATGTTCTTTAGCAATGGGATTATCGAGAAGTTATTGTAACAAGGATAAGTTAAAAGCTTGCAGTGACAACCATTTCGATACCATTGGATCGCTTTGTTACATCGTGTTCCATCAAGCAAGAATGTACCTTTTCCGGCTCAGGACGTACACTATAGCGAGTGTTGATGAACGGAGCACGGAAACCTCGTTCAGTCAAAGTTTGCACTTCTAGGCTAGAACGGGCACGATCCTTAAACCTCACCCCGACCAGAGTTGGGTGACCTGACCCATACTCCCTTTGGTGATTTGATACTCAGACGATGTGTATGCCTTCCACTAATCATGTTTTGTTTACAATCACTAACCTTCCTGTTACTCTCACCAGCCTTGTAAGACTGATGACCAAATAAGTTCTATTTGACGTGACTCTACACGACTAGTTCCTGTGTGCAAATGAGTCATCTATCAGGCAGCCAGTTTGCACACTTGGTGGTCAACTGGAGCCGCCTTGACTGTGTCAGTTTATTTTGCAAATACGCTTTCAGGTTTTCAAAAAAAAACACGACCAGACCGCTTGAGGTGGAAGCATTATAGAACAGGACAGGATTTCAAAACGTAAAAAGCTACTTTGAAGTTTGACGAACGAGACTTTATCCTCTCCTGTTTCATGTGGTATCGCACATGCACCGTACAATTGGTTTATCTTGATTGTCAAGAGTTCCTTCTGTGAAATAAATCCTCATTGTCAACGTGATTTTCACTGCCTTGTGTCAGCAGTGGCAGTCATGTAGTTGAGACCGATTTCACCCTAAGTTCCTGACTACGAGCAGTTTTCTCATACCAATACATACTTGAGAATAAGTCGGCCTCATGTGGGTTGGTGATGGTGCCGTAGTTTAGTCATTCACTGGCGTACTTTGGTCTGAGGTTGAAGTCCCACCACCCAACTTTGTTGGTAGGCCGTCGTCCGGTTCAATAGCACACCTATCCTAAAAGGGACTTATGTGATTCGCCACTCCTAGGCCCGGGGCTTAGGTAACCAGTTTTCATCACTGAACAGCAGGTCTTCGGGAGTATTGGGTCCACACTGATTTGTGTCATAAAAAAGGCGCAATGATCGACAGTGATCCTTGAGGATAGTAGTACGAGCAATGTCACTGGCCGTGTTTTTCTATTCTAAGTTGCGCTTCTAGGCTTTACACACTCAAATGCGATCTACGAGACACAAAGATTATTGTACCATGATTTGCTCGGCACACAATCCGTCCTCAGACAAATGTGAAATACAATTATAATATTGGCGGTGGGTCACTTTTTCCATTTCACGATGCCCTGTCTTTGGACCCTTGTGGCGTTTTATAACACGGATGCTTTCCAGATGAGAATCCGTGTTATAAAACNGGTTGCTTCTCCGGTGTTTATGAACTCGCCTCATTTAATCTGGTTACTGATCCCTTATCCACGATATAGGGGGCACACCAGGTAGCATACAACCCAGCACCTAAGGTTCGAATACTGCTGTTGCTATCTATACAGAGGTGCTCTACAACTGGCTCAACAATAGATTTTATCTCATTGGGTTTACCATCCTAGGCCCCAAGGTAGGACTGGTCACTTATCCTCAGTACGCATTAGATCCTCGTGACTGTGCACCATCAATTGAAATATGATTAGTAATTTTCTCAAGCTGTTGAAAGTTGTGAAGTACTTATACTCACCTTGTTCCTGTTTTTAGTTCTTCATTGTATTTCAACCATTGCTGCTCTCAGCTTATTTCTGTTCCCATGCTTTCTGATCCGTTTCCTTGTTCTACCAATAGACCAATCGGTTAACTCCGTCTGACCTCCGGATTC